TTTTAACCAAAATAGTCATCTTTATTGGAAATTTCTACATGTGTAAATTGTGCTTTACTCAGACATTAAGAGATTTAATTGCACTGCCCACTTTTAGCATAACTGTAAAATTATGGAAAACAGAAACTGACAGGCAAGCCTAGTGTCCAGGAATGTGGCCTGTGTCTAGGAACACAGTGTCCAGTGTCCAGAAATCATAGCCTGGGAAGATGCTTCTTATTCCCATCAAGGCAAAAACAAAAATAAAAGCAGAAAACAAAGTGCTGCAAGGATAGCCCCAAACCCAAAGTCAAGAAAGATGGAAGGAATTACTGGTCACTCTTTAATATTTTCAGATCTGTCCTTTCAATCTTTTTTTTGTTTTTTTTTTTTCACAGTTGTAGGTGGTTTATACAGTAGATAGAATTCCTAGCTAATAACTTGACTAATTGAAGTCCCAGTAGGATCCTTATCATATCATATCAGAGTCACCCGGGGGCCTTTTCCAAAATATTCCCACAGTCTCTGATTTCTTCTCTTCACCCCAAATATGAAAAATCAGGATTGCTTAAAGCCTTTTTTAATAAAAGGGAATATGTCCGATCTCTTGGTTGTACTGAAAGAAAAAAAAAAAAACTTTAGGGCCACTGCTTTAAGGAGTTATAAAAATTCTTCTTTAGGCACCATAGAAAACAAAAAAGGAGTATGACCTTGTCCCAGTCCTCCATGGATTTAAAATGCCCAGAATATAAAAATGGCCGAGTTGAGTTGCAAGAGTTGGAATGGCAGGTGCCGGGAACCACAGAAGCATGCACAGTAAAAATGTTCCCTCCCACCAGAAAGTGCTTGAAAGTTCCATTATTACTGCCATTCCTGATGGATGTTTTTAAGAGTTAAAGGATTTTGATGCATCCAAGTGATGCATTTTCTAGTTAACTCATTAGCCTGGATCAGTTTATGTAATCTTAACACTTGTCATCACCGGCGGGGTGTTCTGAGGAAAAAGAGCAAAAAATGTGTACTTTCCATGAAGCAGGAAAAATTGAAAACATGGTGGATTTGTGCAAAGTTATGGCAAGGAAGGGATCTTTAGGGGATTCTGGGGGAGAGAGAATTGTCATCTTCAAAGAGGGAGACAAGTTTTGACTACTTCATAATTGTTGATTAGGATCTGCATGTCAAGTCATGGGATAGTAAGTTAATTGTACTTCATACATTGTTCTAATATAAAGTAAAGCCTCAAATTATTTTAAATCTTTCATGACACTCTTTAACACTGTGAGAATATTGTTTTTAGAAAAACCTATATAGCATTGCTTTTATAAACAAAAAAACTAATTGGCAAATAAAATGTTAACAATAGTGTCCACAGAGAATTGCCAATAGAAAAATATAAGTAAGAGAAATATATAGGAAATTGGGGGATAAAAAGGAACAAATTTTAGGACATTTCAGTTCCTCTAAGTTCAGCTCCCAGAGAATGCTATTATTGGATAATTCCATGACTCAAGCAAAAGTACAAAAGCCAAAGTCTTTCCTCAGTTTCCTTCAGTCACTTTCTTTGTCACAGCTGGGTAAGATCCAAGCCACCAAATCCTCCCAAGATCTTCAGTTCGAAACCATAACAAATAGCATGTCACTAGATCTGTATTCACTGCAAGACAATTCCACAAGAAGCTATGCCTGGTATAACAGCAAGACATTTAGAAATGGCAAATATTGGAGCAATAATGTGATCTATTGTTCTAATCAGATTCAGAAACACTGTGTCTTGAAGATATGCCTTATAAAATACATAGTATAAACTATAAAGTTGTAGCTCAGAAGCAGTTTATTTTTCCAAATGAACGAAAAGGAAGAAAATCAGTACTTTAAAAGGATTTAAATTTATCTTCACCTTTAAGAAACCTCAGCTGATTTATTCTGTCACAATAAGTAAAAATGATCATAGGGTTTCCAAACCAATAACCCCTTCCCACACACAGCAACACACATATACCCTTTAAGTTACTTTTTCTCTTTTAAAATGCTGTTAAAATGTTTATGGTTCTTCAGGAGTACATGTTTTTGAGCCAGGATTATAAATATGTATAAATATGCAGATACTCTATTGAATGTTCCTTATCTCATTTGTATTTCCAAAGTTGTGTAAGATAACCTTTGTGGCTTTCAAAAACATCTTCTCATACCCCAGGGGGCAAATTACCTCTATTTTCATTTCCTTTAAAGTTAGATCATTTTATAATTAAGAACTTATTGAAGCAGATTCTCCCCACGTGTAAGCTACTCCCTGGGGAGTAATTTATGCAAAGAGAATCTCTGACTTATATCATATAAGCTAAAAACTATACAATGTATACCTGGGATTTTTAGTCAAATTTGTAATTATTATAAACAATCCACTACTTTAGAAAACCCTCGTAGTACAAATAATTTATAAGCATGATATATCAGGTTATTTTAAAATGGCAAGATAATTAACAAAGGAATAATGATGTGGCTTGTCCAAAAACGCTTTAGGAAACCCAGTTGATGAGGAGGAGAAGGAGGAGGAAGATGATAAAGACTGATCTTCTAGCTCTGTACTATTTACAAGGCACTTTTACGTAAAATATCCATTTGATCCTCAAAAATCTGTAAATTTGTTAGCTAAGCTTTATAAACCAGAAAACACAAGATCAGAGATTTTATCTTGACCATAGCTCAAATCGTTAACAGACTAAAGACTGGAGTTCAGGAGGACAGAATAGAATGACATCAAATCTTGTGTTTTTCCCCATCACAAAATCTTGAAAACAATTACTAGTTTGTATAATCTGAAAACTAAAAGAATCAGAAGCAAGTAGAAATACATACTTACTCTAGTAAGTATTTTAGGTAACTTTGTGTCTTCTGATGTTTTTATCATTAGTTCTTGGAATAATATAGGATTTCAAAATTGTAGTCTTATTTTGTTTTTGTGTGTCTCAGAGAATGGGCTACTGAACAAAGTAGCAGGAAATGCGGCTAATTTCTGGTTGTCCCTTCTCAAATCAACTCAAAAGCATCATTAACAACCTGGACCCTCAGTTTTTTCATATGAAAACTAGGGACACAACACTGAATGTTGTGCTTACAAAGATGATTTACAGTTTCTGTGAAATATTTAATTTGAAAATTTTAATGTGCTACCCTAAAACTAAGTATTGTCTTTTTTAAAAATGTAAAACAATAAGAAGAGGGTAATGTCTTGCATTTATTTGTTTTGTATATTCAAGAGTGAGAAACTTGCAGAAAAACATCCAAGTGACAGATTGATGTACAAAGCATTTTAAAGTATATTTTACATAATTATTTTAAATTGGGAGAGGAAATAGCAGATCTTCATAGTGTGTATAATTTTAACAACTCTTAGAATACTATCAGAGACATAGGAATCACTACATTCTAAATAAATTTTATCTCATAGCCTCGATGCTGATGGTTTAAAATTATCTTTCCAAGAGGTCATCACATATACATATACGAGACATGTCACCAAACATGCAAACTAGAAATACCATGCCCCACCATATTCCACAAAATCCTTACCAATGTCCCCAATTTTGTCAAACCTACTACTTTATCTCACCTTCAAGGCTAATAAGCTAGAAATCACCTTCAATTCTTCATCAGTTTTCACCTCTATACTCTTTTTTCATCATATAATCTTGCTTCTGGTTTTGAATCTTTCTATTTGTTTCTTCCTCTGCATTTATCCTGCCACCGATGTAATCCATGCTTTGATCTCCTGTCACCCAAGTTAGGAATAACCTTTAGTTGGTCTTTTGCTTGTCTCTGGTTAACCTGCCAAACTCACCTCTCTAACCCAAGCTACCACTTTCAACCTTTCCTCACCCTGTTCACTTCATTGATTCCTTATGGACATTGGGATTAGGTGAAAACTCTTCTGCTTAACCCCCGGAGCTCCGCAACCTGGCATCACCCCTGTAACCAACCATCTCACCTACATTTACATTATAGCCAAGTTACCTCTTCAGTGTTCACAAACCACAATCATCCCAGACCTCCAATCTTTTTCCATTCACTTCTGCTTGCAGAAATGCCCTTTGCCTTTCCCTTCAGCCGAACCAAATCCCACACGATGTTTAAAAGCAACAAAAATGACTTTATCTCCAGTGAAACTATTGACAGTTCATACTTAACACCCATATAATTAATCATTTTGTCTCTGATTTCTCGAAACATCAATTTTGTTTTATTAATTAGATTATTGGTATAATTATCATATCTTACCCTGCGTCAACAGCCTTCATTATCTTAATGGACATATGCAGCATGCTCGATAAATATTGGACTGATTCATTATTGGCAATTTCACAACATTCACACGCCATATACATTATGTGGCAACATCCAGCCATATAATATATAAAAGCTACCATGCACTTCCTCCCTAGTTGTGGTTTATTTACTTATTTAAATATTATTGAGATAAGGCCATGTGAAAGCTCTCAGTGACTTAATGTTTTAAGTGCAAAATAAGAAAACTAAAGCCATGGGTTCAGGGATTTTTGAGTCACACTATTTTTTTTTTAATGTTAAACGTTTAAAACATTTTTCTTTTATATTTTAGAGACAGGGTTTTGCTCTTGTCACCCAGGCTGAAGTGCAGTGGCATGATCATAACTCACTGAAGCCTGGAACTCTTGGGCTCAAAGAGATCCTCCCGCCTCAGCCTCCCAAGTAGCTGGGATTAGAGGCGGGCACTGAGCCTCTTGCAAGGCACACAGGAGAGAACAGTGAAGGCAAGAGTTTAAAACTTCTGGTCTCTGGTTATTGTTTTTAAGGTTGAGAAAAGCAAGAGAACAATGGCAGACGGATGTCCTTTCCCTTAGAAACAGCTTAAGAAGGCCATTCAAATAGTAATGGACGAGACCCCGCACCTCTACTTCCAAACGCAAACCCCACGGCAGAGACAGACAGATGTGGAAGGAAGAAAACAACGTTGTAAACTCAAAATGTCTGTATTTTCCTTTCAGCACAAATTGAAGTGATACCATGCAAAATTTGTGGCGATAAGTCCTCTGGGATCCACTACGGAGTCATCACGTGTGAAGGCTGCAAGGTAGGGGACTTTCATACCGCCCTGCTCTGTATTGCCTCCGGCTCTGTGCACTGCGCAAGGCTCGTGGAGGCACCTTTTTAAAGAAATCTTGCTGAAGGGTTCTTGTGCCTGCTGCTGACATTCAGAAATTCTTGCTTGGTGGGTGGGACAGTTGATTTTCTGGTCTTTTGTCTTTTACCTTTTTGTTATTGTCTACCTGGTCTGCAGCTCCTTTACAAATGGATTCTTATTAGAAAGCTTGAATTATTCACATTTACAGAGATTTAAACACTGACTCTTGCTGTTTTGGCAATACTGTCTCCAGTAAACTCCAGGGCATTTATTACTGTATGAAAAAAAAAAACAAAAAACTAAAGGTTAAAATAAAGCTTATAAACGAATGGGCTTGTATTTATCTATCTCCTTGAGAAAGAGAAAATCAAAGTAATAGCTGCAATATGCATATGGCCATGCTTCATTCTCACATTCCAGAAAAAAAAAAAAAAAGAAAGAAAATCAGAAGCATGGCATGTTAGAAGTGGATGAGATAATCTCTAAATCAATTAAAAATCGTCTGCCCAACCTCTTCATTTTTTGATGAGGTCCTGAGGTATAAATAAGATGATGCCATTTGACCAACATCGCTGATCCAAATAGGAAAGAACAGAGCATGCACGGCCAAAAACAGGGATCGTTCAGTCTCAGCCCAACAGTCCCTTCCACAAAAGATTCCACCAGTCCTTCCTATGACAAACCAATTCCTAGGAGCAAGTTTCTTCTTATATGCAGAGCTAGGGAAATAGCAGTTAACATAGACCTAACCTGAAATAAGAGAAATTTGAAATTTAAGAGTGAGTTTTTTAAATTAATCCTTAGAAGGAAAGAAAGGGTGGGAAACAAAACAGCAAGGAGAAATCAAAAGAGTTCTACAACTAACATTACAGGGCCATGTGTAACCAGAACAAATAAAATTCAGAGACAGTCTGGGAGGGAAACGGTGATATACTGGCAGAGTCATTGGCAAGAGTGATTATATTTTTGATCAAAGACAAAAGCAAAGAGTTATTAATTTAAGGTCAGTAAACTGAAGGAGATGTAGTCCAGTCATAGATTTGAAGATACAGCCTTAATCTTAACAGACTTTCAAATAGAAAGGAAACAAAACATACTGTAACTGTCAAATAGTGGTGCTGCATGAAAAATTGACAGTCTTTTCATAGTAGTCTCAAAAATGTGTGATTTCTGGAATTGAAAATGGAGGGAAGAAAAGAAAAGTAAATAAATGAGAATAAAGTGGGAGAGGGAGGAAGGTGGGGGATAATATTAACGTACTAACCTGTCAACATACTGATCTGCTTTAAAGATGATTAGTGATAATCCACATGTGAACATCATGGGATGTTCCTTGCGTTCTTTTCCTCTGCAGACCTATAATTAAGAATTGCATGTTGTCCACCTTAATGCAAGTTTTTCAACTCATCTAGAAGAAACAATAAAGCAAAATTATAACTTGGCAATTTTTTACCCTCCTTAAATAAGTTATTACTTCCTCTGGGCACATAGACAAATAGTTTTCTTCATAAACAATAATAATTTTGGAATCACAACTATCTCCCTTGAAAGCAATTCTATCATTCTGTTGGCTTGTTGTGTAATTTGAAGAGCTCTGGTTTAGCTTACATAATATCCACTAAAAGTGTTTCTTAGATCAGTGTCAAAATGGAGATATTTGGCATTTCATGGTATAAGCTCCATTTGGAAAATGTCTGATTTCAAAATATGGGGATATGTTCATGTTAAGGAGAAAAACACTTTAAACAGTAATTTCCAAGAGATTTAACTGCTGCACACATATAATCCAACAGGCCAATAGCCAGAAACAACTGTCATCTTTTCTATTTAAAGAAAGAATCCACAGTCAAAGAAAGTATGCTGTTATGAAGCATACTCTGAGTTTTTAGTCAAAATGACACTGTATACCACACTATTATTTTTTTTAATCCATGGAAAAACCCACATTTGTGGATATGCTACATTTTTGTCCAAACAGAAAACTCAAGAAATTCTGTTCAGAATTAGATGACAGTATCAGCCCATTCAGTACCAACCTCTGAGTTTTCATTATACTGTTTTCAAGTCAACATAAACAACCCATTTTTAAATAACATCAATTCAGCTCGTGCACTTATTCAAATTCCTATTCATTCAATAAAATTTGGAACAGAATCTCTTTTTCATGCCAAAAACCTCATTTGCAATAATGAGCAACAGATAAGCAAGAAATGCTTCGTAATTAATGTCAAATTGGCCTTAAATTAGGGATGTAGCTGTGACTTCAGAAAAGTCTTCTCTGTCAGTTTTTTCGCTAAATGGCATGAGAGTATCCAAAGATAAAAACCACACAATTCTTTCTTAAAATGTAAATTTCAAGTCATCTTTAATCAAGACCGACAGGCTGAGGTTATGCTTTCTGACAGTTTTCATGGTATATGAAGTGCATCATTTCAATCCCTGGGGGCTTATTTGTGATCTCTGTTTTAAGGGGTTCCATGAATTCTGTCAAACTGGACAATCAGACATTTCACGGTGCCATCACCCGTTCGTTAAATAAAGAATACGTGTGAGCCAGGCGTGGTGGCTCACGCCTATAATCCTAGCACTCTGGGAGGCTGAGGCGGGCGGATTGCTCGAGGTCAGGAGTTCGAGACCAGCCTGACCAAGAGCAAGACCCCGTCTCTACTATAAATAGAAAGAAATTAATTGGCCAACTAATAAATATAGAAAAAATTAGCCGGGCATGGTGGCACATGCTTGTAAGTCCCAGCTACTCGGGAGGCTGAGGCAGGAGGATCGCTTGAGCCCAGGAGACTGAGGTTGCTGTAAGTTAGGCTGACGCCATGGCACTCACTTTAGCCTGGGCAACAAAGTGAGACTCTGTCTCAAAAAAAAGAATACGTGTGGATATACAGAGATGAAACTAGTCCTCATTATTGAATGGCTTTGGGCTCACAACCACAAAGCCGGTTGGGACTCTCTCTCTAAGGAGACCCTCAGCCACACATCTGTTTCTGGGGCTCCTCATAGGTTGGCCATACTTTCTTCACTGTGCCATCCAGAGCCATGTCAGAGCCCAAGACAATAGGAAATTCAATAATATTAACCCTGTCTTTCTTTAAACTATTGGTATTTTTTTACATTAATGTTGATTTTTAACACATTGTGTTAAAATATTATTTTTCTTGATAACTAAAGAGGGTAGTAGCCAAAGAATTATTAAAAAATTAACTCAGCTGTGGCTTTATTTAGAGAAATTGTGAATGGTCACTGGCGTTCATTTTGTACCGGAAGGACCCAAGTGTACTTTCATGAAGACCTCTTACATTGCCATAACCTGAGGCCAAGCAGGGACCAGTCATTCAATTTTTACTTATTATTTATTTTGTTATTGCACAGCTTATATTAGTTCCTTTATTCAAAGATGTGGTTGATTATAAGGTAATCATTGATTTTTAAAAACTTTGCAGAGCCGGGTCCAGTGACACATGCCTCATAGTCCCAGCTACCAGAAGGCTGAGGCAGGAGGATGGCTTGAGCCTCAGATTTTGAGGCTGCTGTGAGCTATGATCATCCCTATGAATAGCCACTGCATTCTAGCCTGATCAACATAGCAAAACTCCTCTTAAAAAAAAAAATTAAAAAAAAAAAAGCTTTCCAGATGCATTCTAGCCAAATTCAAAAATTTTCTAATGGGGAAAAAATGCATCATGGAAACTACCTTAGAAACTAGGGAAACAGTAACACATAGTCCTCAACACAACTACTGCTAACAATACCCCAAGTTCCTCACCACCACAGCACTTGGCACAGCCTGTGTTATTGCCCCCATCAAGTCCTATCATATTTGGTTTAGTAGTGACACTCTCCTTTGCCATTTTTTCTCCACTGCTCCTTGGAGACAGGAACTCTGTTCTCATTTTTGGTTTTGTTTTTTTTTTAATGGGTTTATTTTATTTTATTTTTTATTTTGATCTTTTTTTAAATTATTTTAGCATATTATAGGGGTACAAATGTTAAGGTTATGTATATTGCCCATGCCCCTTTCCCCCTTCCCACCCACCCGACACCCGATAAATGTTATTCCTATATGTCCACTTAAGTGTTGATCCATTAATACCAATTTGTTGGTGAGTACATGTGGTTGGGTTTTTTTTATTTTTTTACATAGACCAGCACGGCTGTAAATGTCTTTAACAAACATCGATTCAATGAGTGAATGAATGAATGAATGAATGCTACCATCATACCTCTTCAGAGAGCACAGGTTCTTCCCAGCAGAAATATCTGCAAGCTATACAAAGAGGGGTACTCAAAGAATTTTAAAAAACTAAACTCAGCTATAGTCATTGTAAAAAGATAGCAAATATATATACTAACAGTTTCTATTTCCTATCTTATAAATCTTTTTCTCTTCCCCTCTCTTTTTCCCTCAAGGGATTCTTTAGGAGGAGCCAGCAGAACAATGCCTCTTATTCCTGCCCAAGGCAGAGAAACTGTTTAATTGACAGAACCAACAGAAACCGTTGCCAACACTGCCGACTGCAAAAGTGTCTTGCCCTAGGAATGTCGAGAGATGGTACGGCTTCACCTTCCTATTTCTTACTTGAGGCTTTTCAAATGGATGCTTTGCTGGAGTCTATTTAACCCACTGGAAGAATTCTAAATAAAGGGATGGGGGATAGCAAGAAAAGACAATCATGGTGCTGGTAGTGCATTAAGAGGTAGAGTAAGAACATATAAAAATAACAGTGCTGCCTGTGAAATGAGAGACTTTACTGTAGCTCATGCAGCAACCTGTGCTAACTAGGTTAAAGGAAAGCATAAGCCTGGGTGGAAGGTGACCACCTGTCTAGGTTAGCCTGCAAACAAAGGTTTCCTGGGACATGTGACTTTCAGAGGTAAAACCAGAAAGTCCCAGGTAAACTGGGACCAGCATCGGTCTGACTGGTGCACAAGTTGCTTCATGTGTGGAGATGCTAAGGAACTTGCTATGCTTCTATAACAAGCACAGAAGTTCTGCTGGCTGATCATAGCTACCTAGATCAGGATTTGGACTATCTGAGCCATGATAAAGATTGCAAAGGCTATAGCAGAAGTCCAAGTCTTAGAAGGGTTGCATAGGTGGTGTCCTACTCAGAATATGACACAGTGTGCCCTCCACCTTCACACCCAACCAAATGGGGTGGCTTGGCTCCCCAAATGAATGTCTAAGATTAATGTAAGAGGACAGATAAATTCAAACAAGATGAACAAAGAATTTCACCTAGCTTTGTTTTCATTTTTAGGCATTCATCTAAACTAATTCTTTCCCCACTGATATTGGCCACAACGCTTCTGTATCAGATTATAAGTAGCCTTGAGTCCTGGGGGGTCTTTCTGTCTTGTTCCCACTAAAACCTCAGGGTCTGGGTAAAGCAGGCAGCTAAATGTTTGTCAGATGAGCCAGATAAGTGTTTTGTCAGATTCTCTTCTATCTGGAGCCTAAGACTTAGACAGCAGCCCTGATATTTACACTCTTTATGTGAATCACTGTGGATTCTATGCCTCTAGCCACACTCCCTCTAGTGAAGTTCAAGGCTGTATAGACAAAAAAAAAAAAAAAAAAAACCCTTCCAAATTTTAAAGAAATAGGGATAACTTATATGCACTTAGTATAAAGGGGTTTTGTTAGTTATTAGATTCTTTACCTTTTCTCTAATTCCCAATTCACCTAAGCTTGTCCTGCATAAAAGTGCACCTATAAAACAAATCAGACAAAAAGAATTCAAAGAATCTGAATTGAGCTTTTCAGTAGCTATAGGTAGCTTCTAAAGCTGAAAAGATAAAGTTTCCAAAACTTTCCTATTAACTGATTTTGTTTTATTTGTTTTTCTGGGCTCACTAAACACATACATTTACTCCTAAGATACAGATATTATATCAATTGATAGCATCTGAAAAGCCCCCATTAATAATTAGGCAAAGAGATAAGCCATTGAGTTATTGTTTTTGTTATGTCTTCCTGCAATAAAAGGAAGTATCTCTTCTAGAAAAGTGTGTTCTCTGGGTCAGTGCTGGTGAACAGAATCATGGGCCAGGGATGAGTATATGGGCCAAGGCAGATTCAGCAGATTCAGTGACATCAGCCCACAAAATCTAGGAGATGTCTGAATCCCATGGCATAAAAGAAATGTGTTGGGAGAGGAGGAGGGGTCATTTAATGGATAGAGCCATAATCTATTCTCAAGGGAGAAGAAATTCATTGCACCATGTAAACCCTTATGCAAATAAAAGCAATATAATGTCTAAGGACACTAGGGATTAAGGATAATGATCCATGTTCACTTTAGGTCCAGAAACAATCCTGAGGCTACCAGGGTATCTTTCAAAATGCCTCCTAAGCACATCGATGACCAACTAATCATGGGGAGAAAGGGTCAGGAGTGGAATAGTGGTTGGGAAGCAGAGAAGACGTTCAAGGAGAGGAAAAAAAATTCTAGGAGGAAAAAAAGTTTCTTCTTTACTATGTCATACAGAGCAAGTTTGGTCTGAACCAAACTTAGAGAGGATAACTTATGCCAAAATAAATTATACTAATACCAGGGAAGCTGGATAGGTTTTATCACCTATTGGTAAGTAATGCCTAGTATGTAGTGTCGAAGGATTCCAACACCCTGAAGCCAGGATTGATTAGCTATGTTTACTAAAGACTCAAGAATGACAGGCAGGGTTTCTCCTGCCACTTGCTTATTATCCCTGCCTTCTACTGATTAAGCAAGTATTTTCAAAGTGCTTTAGCAGTACTACTAGTAGCCAGGGTAAGATGCCTTCACACCTAACTTCTTTCTAAAACCCTCTACCTTCCCCAGATATAAAGTGGCATCTTCATTTGGTAAATTTGGCAAATACATTTGCTTTCTGTCAGTCAGGCTCCAAGTGTCAGACCATACCACCCTGAACATGCCCAGTCTTGCCAATTAGGCTCCAAAAGTGTTTGTTTCACTATACCTGGCCACTGAAATAACATGGCTTCTAGTACATAGCCTAAAATAACTTTTGAAATCACTGGATTTTCATTCTCTCCTGAATTTTCACTTCTATACTGGTTTAATAGCACGTGTATGAATAGACATCAAACTCAGCAATAAGAAATGTATTCAAATTTTGCTCAGGCAAAGAATCAAAAATCAAATCCACTTGGAATACATACACATGTGTGTTTATGTGTATAAAAAAAGAGAAGGCATGCATTTGTGTCTGTCTGTGTGTGTGTGTGTGTATGTGTGTGTGTGTGTGTGTGTGTGTGTGTGTGTGAACTGATAGCTTGGATATGCCCACTGAATCTTCTTTACCATCTTTTTTTTTCTGGGCCCATCACAAAGGAATCTTTAGTGTAATTGTTTCCAATAGTGCTACTCCTAGGAAAAAAAAGTGTTTGCTATCAATAGGACAATATTGGACCCCAAAGAGAAAATATGATACTCACCTTGCAAAAATCTAGACTATGTCCTCCTAGATGGCATGTCTCCATGAAAACACAGAAGCTGCCCTACAAGGAAGGACAGTTTTCACATATTAAGCTTCTTCTATTCAGAACTACATCATCTAATCCAATTGTCGCTCTCTAAATAATTTAAATTTAAATGAATTAAAATTAAATAAAATCTAAAATTTAGTTATTCAGTCACATTAGCTGTATTTCAAGTGTTCGGTAGCCACATATGGCTCATGGCTGCCATATTTGAAAGTCCAGAGAACATTCTATCATCGCAGGAAGTCCTGCTGGAGGAAAAGTGAAAGGAGATAAAAAAGAAATTTTAAAATAATGGATAGGGTTAGGTAGATTGAATCGGACTTCTAAACCAAGCTCAGAGCACTAAAAAAGGGAAGGGAGCACATCTCCAAAGCTGAAAAGAGTTAAATTAAGACCAATTTCATCAGTAAGCAGTGTGATGTAAATATAGAGAACTGCACAACCAACGTAGTAAGATAAAATAATTTCCAAAATGTCTATAGAAAGTCATAGATGATAGTTGTACAATTGGATTCTCTTGTCCAGTTATGATATAAGTAGAAATCTTTTAAGGAGTAATGACTTTATTTTTTAGTTACTTTTAAAACTTCCATTACATTTAGAACCCCATAATTCAAATAAATGTGAAATGATTTCCAATACTTTTTCGTAAAATTGTTCTTTGCTAGCATCGGATCAAAATGAGGGTTAAGAGCACATCATGAGAAAACACCATTGTCACTGAATATTTATAAAGCACTTGCAATGTACACAGAATTGTGCTGTTTTCTTTAAGAGGTAGCAGTTTAACAAGAGGCTGTCTCTATACTCAAGTGAATATCATTAACAGAATAATTCAAGTTTGAGAGGGGCAAACAGTCACAACATATACCACTCTGATTAATGTGTAGTGATAAGAAGAATGCTAATACTTGAAATATAATAGTAACATGGCCTTTGTTAAAATAGTCCTAAGAATACAACAAATGTATTTACAAATAGTGACAAGAAATTATTTATGTTAGGAAAGTCCAGTAGGTTTATTTTTGCCACGTATTGTAATTTTTTCCCAAATATGTCATTACTTTTATTGGAGGAAGGGGCATAAAACTAAAACACTGGCTCATCAGTGTTTATAAAATGAATGGAAATTCATTCTAGAATACTATAATAATCATTGTCAGTGAAGTCCTTGATTTACAATGAAGCCTGTTAATTTTAAAATGTAGTATAGCCTTAAGTTTTTTCTTTGAAAATATGTCAGTTGCTCAGTGACCTGATAAGTCAATTTTTTAAAAAAGGCATAGCTTTTCTCTGTTGAGTTTTCAGATGTTTACCAGGGCAGGGTCTCGGCAGTGTGTCTTTTTAACATTGTTAGCTTTGATTATGACATCTATGGTTAACAGCAGAATTCTGCATGTGTGGGCTGCAGGGCATTCTATGGCTCTGCTGATCATAAATGGTCTTGCCTGGGATGACTGGGAAGGCTTGTCTGTGCTTCACATAAATGTATCCTCCAGCAAGCTAGCTCAGGCTTGCCCTTGTCATGGTGAGGTACCCAATCACACAGGCTGTCTTCAAAGACTCTGCTCATGTCACATTTGTCAATATCCTATTGGCCCAGAGCAGGTCACATGCCCCTGAGTCAGGGGGTTGGGCAGGATGCCTGCACAGAATGAAAGGGCACTGCAAATTGACATGAGGAAGGGCATGGAAGGACATAAGCTAGGAATCGGGGTCATTAATGCAATCAATCTGACACAAAGTATATTTGACCCAAATATAATGTATGTAGAGATCTAAAGCAAGGATTAAATGGAAAGGGTTTTTAAAAGATACTGCATTTCTGCCTCCACGTGAAAAGAGTTTCTCATTCTTAATTTTTGATTTCTATAAATTTTGAACAAATGAAAGCAAAACTATTCAACTAAAATAAGTCAAACAGTCAATCTACCCTGGCCAAAACAAAATTCTTAATCACGTCCATAATGCTGCAACAAAGAGCTGTTCTGAACATAGCTGAATGCAAAGGATAGAAGGTTAGCAAAAAAAGAAGCTATGTCACATTACTTTCTTGGGGGAGATGAGGAAGTTCTTTCTGAATCGATATTTATGAGTTTTTTTTTTTTATTTTTCCTGCACAACAGTGTTTTTTCCTCTTAAAAAATAATATGTAATATAATGAGTGAGATGTGCACCATCTGGGGGATGGTCATGCTGGAGACTCAGACTTGTGGGGGGAGAGGGAGAATGGGCATTTATTGAAACCTTAAAATCTGTACCCCCATAATATGCTGAAATAAAAAAAAATAAAATAAAATAAAATAAAATAAAATAAAAAAATAATAATATGTAGTAAATTATTTGGGAAGACATAATTTAAAAGTACAGAGATAGCTTGCCCTAAAAGTTACTATAGAATTCTGTCCATAGACAAACTAGAAATATCACGGCAATTATTAAGAAAATAAATTTGTCTCTGAGAAACAATTTAATAAAGGCATTGTCTCTACAAACAAAGTTGAACACAATGATCTGAATGATTCAAGACCCTAAAAAAGATACTACTGAGGTGAAAAGAGGATTTTGGTTTGAATTAATCAGATTGTTTGTCTTTATTCAGAAATATTACTGGACAATTACCACTTCATTTGCCTACTTAGGCAGCATCAGAAAGGCAGAATATAGGTTTTCAAGAAAGATTAAGGAAAAATAGAAAGAGTTTGGGCTTCTCCAAGTCCACCCCTCACATCCACAGTCCAGCAGGAAAGGAGGAAACTCGTATGCCCTAACACCCGGAAGTGAATGCAACCCTTCCATTTACTTCCTGTGACTCAGAATTTAATCACCTAGCACAGCTGCTGCTGAGGGGGCCTGCAAAATGTGGTCTCCAATGTGAACAGCCTATGCTCAGATAAAATTTGGTAGCTCTGTACCCAACCGAATAAGAAATTAAATTTTGGAGGAAATTGGGGCCAGGGGGAGAAGTGAATGGCAGTTCTCTCCCAGCAGGAATCTCCTTTGTGGGCCCTCCATGCTAGAGGGCTCTTAAGCACTTCACCATTTAGAAATTCTCTGAAGAACACTAACCCTAGTGACTGAGTCTAGGAATTGGACCTGTTTCTAAACTCTGTTTCCTTCTTCCTACATCCTCCAACTCCCAACATCTAGAGTTGATGGGAACACTGTCACAAAGGAAAAGAAAACAGAAACTCAAAGGGGAGCCTCCAGGTTCGTCATAGTCCTTACCATTAACATGAGCTGAATAGTGCTTGATGATTCAGACAAGGTAGCCCTGTGGCTCAGGATGTTCACATCCTAAAAGGGGAGTTGGCAACCTGCAAGGAAAAATGTCAATATCCATAACAGTTCAGGGGGTGAAGCTCCATAAGTTAAGAAACAACATATTGAAATAAAAGCATCTTTATATGACTCTCTGATTCCTTACAGAGCCTCTCCCTCCTTTTTCTTTGGAAAGGCTGAGAATTTTGCCAGAAGAGATGGGCAAAATAAAACTTGGTAGTGGTAGAATGAGGAAAGGTAGTTACTGTTGACTCGCTTGCTGAACACTGGAATGCACAAAATTGCTATTTTCCAAAGATTCTTATCGTTTGATCCCAAAAGCCAACTGAAGGCGAATGATGTGGTTCACTTAAAATTGTATTCATTGCCCTGCTCCACATCCTTGCTCTTACTCAACACACTATTTAGAAAATAGATCTGAGCATGAAATAAAAGGGTCCTATCCAACAAACCAGTCGTCCCAATGCTTAGGCGGGGGAAGTTAGTAACATGTTAGTTGACTTTTTAATAACTGGTACTATTAATAATCTGGACTGTGGGGTTTTCGGGGGGGTTCACACATTAAAAAGAACAAGAAAATATGCTTTCTAACTTCATGGCAATGAGAAATGCATACATAAGTTTTTTTACATTTCTTCCTGGCTTAGCCTTGGTTCTCACTATGCACATAAACTAGAACACACAGCCTCTGAGTATAGTCTTTTCCCAAATAAGTGCGAATGCATGGGTTGTTAGGTTACAGCGCTGGGCGTTTGCGCATTCGATGTTGAAGGGACAACCATCTGTGACCCCTTGGACCCGAGGTGGTTGATGAGAATAATAACCACAAGTGCTGTTTTCTGCTTTTCTCTCCCACCCAGCTGTGAAGTTTGGGAGGATGTCCAAGAAGCAAAGGGACAGCCTGTACGCCGAGGTGCAGAAGCACCAGCAGCGGCTGCAGGAACAGCGGCAGCAGCAGAGCGGGGAGGCGGAAGCCCTCGCCAGGGTGTACAGCACCAGCATCAGCAACAGCCTGAGCAACCTGAACAACGAGACCAGCGGCACTTACGCCAACGGGCACGTCATCGACCTGCCCAAGTCCGAGGGTTATTACAACGTCGACTCCGGTCAGCCGTCCCCTGATCAGTCAGGACTTGACATGACTGGAATCAAACAGATAAAGCAAGAACCTATCTATGACCTCACCTCCGTACCCAACTTGTTTACCTATAGCTCTTTCAACAATGGGCAGTTAGCCCCAGGGATAACAATGACTGAAATTGGTAAGTGGAAGTCTCCTCTCAAACATAAAGTCTTCCTTTATGTTTGGAAATTCTGCTTTGAAGTTGCCTTGGTCCTATTTAGCAGGGTCATTTTCTTAGATCTAAATTGAATTACTTGCATTCATGTCTTCTGCTGAGAAAATTAATTGAGATTAAGATATATTCTAATAAATGTTGTTGTTCCCTTCCCCATAAAAGTTTATTTCGAGCAAAGGAAGAAAGAAGAAATTATAAATAGAACGATGCTATCTGTAAAGAACAGATGCTATCTGTTGAATTTGGGTTCTCACTGAAGGAAAAATGTTATTGGTATAAACAGGGAAATTTCGGCATGTATTCAAAGTTGATGCTATTCAAAGTGAAATAGCTAAGAGATACAGAAACAGTACAGAATAACCAAATGAACAGGGGTCCAACTCTTCCTCTAAAATCTTAAGCAAACAGTATCTCAGTTTCCTTCTTTATAAAGTCAGGGGAGTCGACCAGAAGACAGTTAAGTTTCTCGTAAATCTGAATTCAAGAATTCCATATGGGATTCTTAATTACAGCAATGAAAAGAGTGTAGTCTGGAATGTTACCGAACACAAGAGCGACAAATAAGCTAGTCATAGGCATGATTGCATCAGCAACCTGATCCTCTTTCTTCAGTTCCTAAGGAGTGATCTTCGAGAGTACCCTATCTTAGGCAAGCTCTCTTCTGACCTGTTGCGACTTTGTTTTACCCTGTGAAATTCAAAAGCCTATTAAATGTTTAGCCAGCTAATCTCATCAACCAACTGCCATAAAAAATATTGATGTAAGCTTAACACGTTCCCCTCCTGGGTAACAGGGTTGCACGTTAACGGTATAGCCTAGAAGAGCTAAGCAAACCATAGCTATCCCAGGCTTCGTTGCAGTGTTTAGCGTGCTGGGGAAAGCAGTCTAGAGCTCAGGAACCTTTGAGGCTCCCTCACATTTCACCCTAAGAGGTCACAGAGCAGAGTGATCAAGAACCCGGCTACCTGCATCCAAAGCCTGTTACTGTGGCTTTTCATTTCAGCTGGAGCAAGTTTCTCACTCCCAGTTTGCTCATCTTTAAAAAGAAGAAAGCATCAGTCCATAGCTCTCAGGGACGTTGTGAGAATTCAATGAGTTAATACTTGTAAAAACATAGCAATGTGTTGGACTCAGCAAGTGCTCAATAACTCTTAGCTATTATTGTTTTACGCCATGTGCTCAGTCACCTTCTCTGTCTAACCTGCAAACAGGAGCCTAGAGCCTACAAGTGTTTTAAATTAAGTTGCTGTAAACACATAATGAAATACATGGCCATATTCTTGGCTACTTGTACCATCTGGCTGAGGAAGAGACAATGTTTCACAGTTATAAACCTGAAATATTATTTCTCCCTTTTAGTAATTCAGCATGTGACAGTGAGTAAAGTGGTTGATAAGGCACCTGTGATGACTCTCATAACTGAGAGTCATAGAAAACGAACCATCAACCGTAATTACAAAAATAGTCAATTATTATTGTGATCTTTAACCTTGTTTCGTCCATATCACAGGCACTTTACAGGTTTAATTTTCACAAACATCTTCAAAAATAGGTAAAAATATTATTTCTAATTTATAGATGCTGAAATAGGCTTAGAAATATCTCAGGATGTCCCAGAGTCCTATGGTTACTAAATGACAGAACCAGCATCCTCCTTACACAGTCTGATTCCAGAGTCCTTGTGCTCTTCCATTAACCTGCTACCTGCCTGGGTTTAGTATTCATAAACTACATTGTCAACTAATAGAGACAGTCATTTAAAATAGAACCACTCAATCTTTTCAAGAAGGGAAAGACACCATTTTTTTTGCATTTTACTACTTGATCTCTAAGTTCCTGATTCTACTATTAATTTGGAACATAATTTAAATCCTAATGAAACAAAACTCATAATTTTTGAGCAATCTTCTGCCCCATACGCAAAGCGGAAATCTTCTAAGTGTTCAGAAATCACAATTTCTTTGTGATTTAGCAGCATCGAGGAAGTATTATGGAAAGAGAAGTACAGCCAAAACCATCAGGCCTGGGTTAGCCTGAACAAGTCATTTTTCCTCTCTGGTCCCGAGTCTATTCTATGAACTGATAGAACTGGACTATAATAGATAATCTCAAAATGTATCCATATATTCTGCACATATGTCAACATGGAAAATGAACTGGCAGATATATTTTCTTAATTATTTTAAGATACAGTTAGTCTTTCGAGATCTCTAGATAGGTTTTAAATGTTGGAAGCTTCTTCTATCCGACTTTAAGGGATGCAATAGAACGTCCTGCAAGTGCTCTCAAATTTAGCAGACTCCTAAACCTAAATAGTTGCTTGGTTCGCATTTTGTTAAAACAGCAATGCCACCTAGTGGACACAAACCCATTCTATGAGTGTCGACTCTTAAGTACCTGTGACAATAGTGTTTCCTGCACCATCCAAAAAATTGCCAATCACTTCACTAAAACACCAAGTTCTTTTTTTTTTTTTTTTTTGAGACAGAGTCTCACTTTGTTGCCCAGGCTAGAGTGAGTGCCATGGCGTCAGCCTAGCTCACAGCACCCTCAAACTCCTGGGCTCAAGCAATCCTCTTGCCTCAGCCTCCCGAGTAGCTGGGACTACAGGCATACGCCACCATGCCTGGCTTATTTTTTCTATATATATTAGTTGGCCAATTAATTTCTCTATTTATAGTAGAGACGGGGTCTCGCTCAGGCTGGTTTCGAACTCCTGACCTCGAGCAATCCGCCCTCCTCGGCCTCCCAGAGTGCTAGGATTACAGGCGTGAGCCACTGTGCCCCGCCTAAAATACCAAGATCTTAACAGTCAGGAAGGCATCAGTGAATCAATATGGTGTCTAACAACTCTGGTTTCTGGAGTCAAACTGCCTGAGTTCAAAACCTGAAAAGCCTGAAAGCCTTTTCCCTTAGGCAATTTATTTAACTTCTCTGAGTCTCAGTTGTAAACCTAGGCCAATAATAGTTTTTATCTGTGTATGTGGATTAAATGAGTTAATATGCATTTGTGAGTTCTTAGTAAGGTACTTGTCATGTGTAAGCATCATCATTATTAATAATATAATTGATATAATTATTTATTACTTAATAGCATCACTAGTTATTGAAGGTAATATAATTACCTTTTATTGAACACCTACATTATGCTGAGCAATGTCCTAGATTTAATTCTCTTAACAATCCCACTATGGCTGTTACGTATTTGTATACCCATTTTACAGATGAAAAACTTGAGGCTCAGAAGTTACATAGCTTATAAAAAGCAAAAGAATATATAAGAGACCAGGTCTGAGTAACTATTATAGTGCATCTCCTCCCAGCAAACAGTGACCATCCTTCACAAGCCGGTTGGCATTCTGGTTGGTGTTTGCTGCCTAACATCCTTCTAAGTGCTACAAACTGGAGCTTACAGAGTTCTCATGGTGACATTTTGACTTGATTTGATTAATGGGCGTCTAAGCCAATCTGACTGGTGGCAACCTGTCATTGAAAGAGCCCTGTGCAGACAAAACAGAAAATCTGATTTTTGCCACGTGCTGACTGTGTGAATTCAAAGTTATGTCACACCAAAACATTTTTTATCATTCTTAACTACTGGAAGTCCTGATCTGCTTCCTCTGGTTTCTGAGAGAATAATGAAATGTGTGCCACCAGGTCATTATTCTGAGAGTGGGGCATCTTAAAAGTAGATCTTTTGGGAAAAAAAAAAAAAAAAAAAACAGCTTTTAGATTAGTCCGTGTAGTATAAGATCTTATGATTTTGAAATTTTTAATAAAAATGCATGTTTAAGAACCATAGCAGAACTATATAAGCAACTGCATGCAGATCCCAAAAAGTAAATTAATGTGATCAGAATCACGAATGTTCTCCAGAAAAAGCAAACCTGTCTTTCTGAAAGTCCACCAAAGGAACTATAAACTTCCTAGGTTAAAGGCTCTCATAGTAATGTTTCATGTATAGAAAGAACCCGTTCGTGCATTTTAGTCAATTTGAGTCTCACACCAATGCTTTCAGGTCAGCAGTGAAGAAACTGTCCCATTGCACAGCTATAGAAATTAAGGACCAGAATTAAGGGTGTTTCTAGGGCACAGAGTTAGTTAAGTGGCAAAACTTAGATTCTAGCAGTAAGTCATTCCGCTGCCCCAGACTGCCAGGCATTTCTTCAAAAGCCTATTTTTGAAATGTGCCAGACACTCAAGAAGAGCAGAACAAGGTTTCTGACCACCCCATCTAGGAAACACCATGAAGATAAATACAGTAATTGCAATGTTCATAGTGTCACATACTACACATCCTGGGCATGATGGTACCACGCAGACCTGGAGGGTGAGGGAGACGGCGGGTATTGATTACTCTGAGCTACATCTCTTATCAGGAATATTTCATTCCCGTAGTTTGTTTGTTTTTTTTTTTTCGGCATATTATGGGGATACAGATTTTAAGGTTTCAAGAAATGCCCATTTCCCCCCTCCCCCCAAAAGTCTGAGTCTCCATCATGACCATCCCCTAGATGGTGCACATCTCACTCATTATGTATGTATTGAGCATAGAAGACAAAATGTGGGTGAGCAAAAAGAAAACCATGAAATATTTCAGGAATTACATCCCTAGGTTTTTCAAAATCCCGTAGGGGAAAGAAGCCATGAAATAAAAGAAAGGCAACCGTAAGCTGCAAATTAATATTTAGACAGAAATATTAACTGGGTTGAGCTGGAATTTTACTTCAGGCTGGCATGATGGATGTCTTAAATGTTTGGGAATAAAATTTTGCACTGATTGGTGGCAGGGAGAGGAAACGAGCTAGAAGATACTTAACAAACAAGCAGAAAAGGAAAGTGGAACCTCTTGTTTTTGCTCCCCAACTATAGTGCTCTGATGGGTTGTAGGATTCTGCAGCTCTAATACTCTTAATGAAAGCTCATTTAAGCTGAGAGACAATGTATCTACGAGGTCCCAGACA